ATTTAAAGTTTAAGCCGTTGATCATTTGGAAAGCGCTGAATCGTCGCTGTTTCAAAGGCAGAAGAATGTTGAAACTCGGCGTGTTTTGGGAAGCCAATCCCAAAGCTTGGATGACGGGCGCAATCTTCGAAAAATGGCTCGATAAATTCAATGCTCGCATGCAGAGCCTGGGCGGGAAAGTTTTGATGCTAGTAGACAATGCTCCATGCCCATGCCATATTCGTCGCTCCATGAGCAACGTTCATCTGCTCTTCTTGCCACCAAATATGACGAGCAAGCTCCAGCCTTTGGAGCAAGGCATAATACAAGCTTTCAAACTACAATACAGAGGCTTGATGCTGCGGTGGCTTCTGACACGGATGCATGAATGTGAGAGCGCTACGGATCTCACGAAGAAAATCAACGTTCTTGAAGCACTCCCATGGGTGATCCTTTGATTGGGAAGGTGTACAAGAAAAGACCATCGTGAAGTGTTTCAAACATTATGGTCTCGGGCTCGATAAGGTGGAAGTGCCCGGGACCGATGAGGCGGAAGAATTGATATTCGAAACTTTGTTGCGGCTATCAGAAAAGGCTGACGTCTCCGATCCTTAATTTGAAGAAGAAATCCAGAGCCACGCCGACTGTCCAGGCTCCGAGCCCCTCAATGAGAAAGACGAAGCGGAGGACACTTGCGACGTGAGGTCCGCATCGTCCCAAGAGGCGCTCCTAGCGATCGAGACCTTGAAGTCTTTCGTATTCGCGGCGGGCGCGATGCCGTCAAATGCCTACGATTCTATCCTTGAGCGTAAGAGAGAAGTCAAGAACTTCATCTTGAACAACATTCAGGAGTTACTGCGTCAGACCGATTTACACACCTTCATGAGCAGGAATGACAAAATCTAAATACCTACAGTAAAAAGTGAGTGCACTCAGTGAGACCAAAGGCATGCCTCTTCATTCCGTGCTTATCCGAGGAGAAGGGGTGAAGGAGAGACAACTTCAGAGGAAAATGTCGTCAATCGCGTAAAGCGTTCACCTGAGTGATCGGTCCGCGTTTTGCTCTGACGGAAGGTGGACCTATTTGACAGGTTTCACTGTATTTGGCATCAGGTGCCTTCGAGCTGATGTGCGCCACTGGGATGCCTCCAAGTTGGCGCTCGCCACTGGGGCGTCTCTGAGTTGGCGCTCGCCATTGGGGCATCTTCGAGTTGGCATCTTTGACAGTGGCATTTGGCATCAGGGTTAGGCTTTGCAGCGGTCACAAACCGCAATTTTCGGCGGTTAGTAACCGCACGAAAACCGCATCAGATGGCCTCCATGTTTCTTTGGAAATTTATCACAAATTCAGCTTCCTCTACGCAAGCGGAGCCCTCTCTGTCTTGACGAAGACGGGTGACGATCCCTCGGCGAGGAAGCAAAACCAGGAAAGTGCCAAAATTGAACTACCTATTTCGCGGTCGAATGATCTTCCGATTCCGTTTTCGAATTCGGCGCAGGAGAGCGCGCTATGACGAGATGAACGTCGCCGCGCGATATCAAGACTTGGGCTTAGGAGTTGCATCTACGCTTCATCTACATGTACACACGTACATACATCCATTGTGTCGTTTTCAGAGGACAGAGCAAGGACTCTCTGAGAAAACAGGCTTTGTGAAACTCGCTCCTTGTTGTTGTATGTTCCAAGAGTCGGGGCATACGGATGAGCAGTATGTCTGGATTCGAAGGATCGAAAAAACTGAAAAGCTGGGTCTGAAAGTGGTTCGAGAAGAAGCCCATCGGTTCCCAATGTTCTAGGTGTCCTCGAGTGAGTGAACGGCGAAATAGTGTTCCGCACTTCCAGCGGGCAGCATGGGTCGACAGTATTCAGCGGTCTGATGTGTTCGTGTTTCTGTGATATCTGACGATTCCTGCCATTGAGTGAAAGCGATGGCCTTATCCTGTCGTATTTGATGTCGTGGGGACCTTCCTTGCTTGTGGAATGCAAACTACGTGAGCTTCTCTGGCCTGTTGAGAACAACTGAGTGTTTGGTATTTCGTCGAAAAAATATCTGCATTTCGTCGAAAAAATATCTGCATTTCGTAGTCGACCTTCAACTTATCGAGATTAGCTTCTCGGACTCTGAAGAGCGACAGGACGACGGGTGCTTTGATCACACATTTGAACAGACAGCACGGAATTTCCGTCAAGGAGGAGAAGACTCCGACGAATCCGTGATCGATGAAGCCTCTCGTATCAACTTCGACATGGACGAGGACGAGATGGAGACGCCTCCTCGGTCCGAAGGGATCTCAGGGGAATGAACCCCGCAAAAAAGAAGAAGCGGCTAGCCTTGGATGAATACTTCGTAGCTGAACATACTATCAAGAGTGAGGTGCTCAGCTTGATCTGCGAATCTAATCTGAGCATTAATCAAGTCGTGACTTCTGCTGCGCTCAGGAGAACTCTGAGCCGAGCTTACCCAAAAGATCCACCGTTACCGAAATCGATCGCAAGCATAAGGAAGATGCTGACCGACGAGGCGAGCAGAGTCAGAAATCGTTTCCGGAGGGAGCTCAGACGAGTCAGAGAGAAAGGTGAGGACTTTCCTCTGAAGCATTTTTTCGTTTTCCCCTATCACGGCGAGATATCTGAAGTCACTGGCTCATACTTACTCTCTCAGGCGTAAGACTGTCCCTCTCTCTCGATGAAGCGACACTCATCGGAACGGACAGATACGTAACCCTCAACGTTCACTGTTACGGCCTGATTTTCGGCGACTCGAACATTGCGCCCCTGGGCCTCATAAGGGTGAAAGAATCAGCTGCAGGAGAATATTTGTGCCAAATCATCAGCGATCGACTTCGTATCTACGATCTATCCGATAAGGACATCGTAAGTGCGGGCTCCGATGGAGCGAGTAACGTTCTGAAGGCCGTCAATCTCCTCGGTCTCAAGCAACAGAAGTGTTTCGCACATGGGCTGGATCTCGTCGTTAAGAAAGCTATTTACGGAGCTAGAGCGACAGCATTCGACGTGAGAATGCTCGACGAATTCGATTTGACTGGTGAAGACGACGCTGACGGCTCCGATGCTGGCAACTCCGACGCAGGCGGCTCCGGCGCTCAATGCGACGCCGAAGGATGTGTGACGGATGGAAGCGGAGATGGTTCCGGCTAGAGCAATGCGGAAGACGACCAAGAATCTAAACCGGAGCGCCCCATTTGGCCGCGACCGTTTGGCCGCGGAACATTCCGCAGCTGGGGAGTCACCCAGCCGCTTCGGCACCCTTCGCCGTACACTTATGGCGCCACGAAGTCCAATCCTGGTCTTGATGCCGACTCAGATGGGATCACTTTGTTCTTGCGGTTCATCAGAGTATCCTCCGTTCGAGGATCTCCCGACCGGCTCAGAGATCTTAGGTCTCTTAATAACTACGGCATTTCTTTGATCTCACGAGAGTCCTCCGAGAGAAATCTTTCCGATCAACATGATCGCTCGGAGTTATCGCTATGTAACATATTCCATGCTCAACAGCCGCTCTGATAGTGATAACGAGGAGTCGGTCTGTATGGTGAAGATACAAATTCTATCTATTACTATGATTCATATTTCGTTGTTCCTGATGCGGAGTGTAGTGTTCTCTAGCCCTTTAGGCTAGGATGGCTGGGATGACACGTTAGATTGACACAAGAGGTCCAGGGCGAGTGGACGACGTTTATTAGGAACAGTTGGGCTTGTATTAATGAACGGATGGTGTCCGTCAGATAGCGACGGTACATTGGATATCACATCCCTCTTCTAAGCACCTGATTATAATTTTACAAGGATGGCCACCCTTTCGGTTCGGGGTATGAACAGTGTTTTCGCGGTGGGGGTGAGCTTATGTATATGCCGAGCGATTGGTCGGGGCGTCGCCTGCTTTGGCGTCTATTTCTGCCCTGCCTCACGTTCCCTTCTTTCTGCGATTCGATTTGATCTTCTTATTTCTATCTCCACCGGTTTCTGGCCAGCGTCAGTCTGATGCTCTGGCTGCGGCGCTTCGCTGTCGGTCGTCTTTTCCGGGTCTCGGTCCGACACGGTCTCTTCTGGTGGCACTGGTCTCAGCATTACTCGATTGCGACGGGATTGTACCCCTGTTTTCGTGTCCTTCACTAAGTAGGAGCGCGGCTGTGGCAGAACCTGGAGGACGTTCCCCGCCTCCTACACGTTTTCTTGTGGGTGGTAGGATTCTTACTGTTTGGTTCTGCGTCAGCGGCGGAAGGATCTTCGCTCCGCGGTCATAGTACGATTTGCTTTGCTTCTTCTCTCGCTCGAGTTCGTCCGTCACAATTTGCGGGGGTATGACCCGGGGTTGGAGGTGGATCGGCGCGACTGGTAAGGCCTTCGGGCCTGCCTCCCCATGAGTCTCTGCATCGGTGAGCCGAGTATCTGGTTTCGCGGGACATTCCTCCACTCTAGGACTGCTGCGAAGAACTCTGGCGTTCCATATGGGTGTTTCTTCAACAACTTCTTGGCTTCTTGTACGGCACGCTCCGGCGAGGGCATTTCCTCTTGGGTGGTAGGGGGAGCTCGTGGTTTGTTTTATTCCATTTTGCTGGAGTAGTTCTTGGAGCCATGCTCCGACGAATTGTGGGCCATTGTCTGACCTCAGTTCGACTGGGAATCCGAAGTGCGCGAACGTCGCAAACAGCGCGCGGGCCACCTCTTTCATCGTTGTGGATCGCATCTGTGTGATCTCCCAGTAAAAACTGTATGCGTCGACCACGACGAGGTACTGCTGTGTGTCGAACTCGAAGAGGTCCATATAGGATGGTGTGCCACGGTCTCGGCGGGTGGGTGTGGAGCACATTGGCTCTCGGGAATTAGCCGGTTTGTCGCGTTGGCATTGCTGGCAGCGGGCCACGAGATTCTCGATGTCCGCGTTCATGGTCGGCCAGTAGACCGTTGTCCTCGCTCGTAGTTTCATCTTCGTCATCCCAGTATGTGGGTAGTGGAGTTGGTTGAGTACCTCACCTCGCATATGCTGGGGAATGACGATTCGGTTCGACCTCATAATCAATCCCTGCTCGATGTGCATCTCATCGCGGTACGGCCAGAATTCCTTTATCGTGTGGGGAACTCTGCTTTTGTCTTCCGGCCATCCCTCTGACATGAGATCGCCGCCTTGAGCGTTCGCATTTGTGCATCCTTTTCGTGTGAGCTGATGTATTCCTGGAGCCTATGGTCTGCCACGGGTAGCGTGCTCAAGGACGCGATGTTCGGGAGATCCTCCAGCTCATCTGGGGCCGGGTTCCTGGAGAGGCAGTCTGCGACATGGAGGTTCTTGCCGGGAATATATTGGACATCGATGTCGTACTTCTGTAGGGCCATCCTCATTCTTTGAAGCCTTAATGGTACCTGATGTAGTGGTTTCTGCATTATCATCTCGAGGGGTTTGTGGTCGCTCTCCACGCGGAGGTTCTTTTGCCCAAAGACGTAATAATGGAACTTGGTGCATCCGAACAGGATCGCGAGCATTTCCTTCTCGATTTGTGCGTATTTTTTTTGGGTCTCTGTAAGGGTTCTGCTCGCGTAGGCTAGCGGATGTGTTCCCTCGGAGTCCTCCTGCAACAGTACTGCTCCGACTCCGAACTGCGACGCGTCTACCGATAGCACAATCGGCAGTGCCGGATCGAAGTACCTGAGCACGGGGGCGGATGCTAGCGCTTCTTTTAAACGTTCGAAGGAACGCTGCTGTGGTTCCTGCCAAACGAAGCAGGTGTCCCTTCTGAGCAGCTCCCTCAACGGGGCCGTGATGTCGGTGTATGAATCGATGAATGACGAGACGAAATTCGTCATGCCGAGGAACCCTTGGAGTTTTTTGAGGCACGTAGGCACTTTTATCGAGCGTATGTCGTCGATCCGACTTTGATCAACGCGAATG